CACTGTCCTTCTACGAGTTCCGTCTTATCACTGGAAAGGGCATCACATCACATAAATCTTTTAAGCACTTCATCTCCAATTGTTCAGAATAGCGGTAGAGTTAATAGCTCGGGATGACGGTTTAGGTGCTCGGAACACATGAAGGGCCTTAATGCCAGTGGACAACGTGGGAAAAAGTACGTTCTGATCCTATCCATTCCCTTTTCTTGAGTTGTCGCAACCTACTTCTGCTCAGTTAATGAGACAAAATCAAGCACAAAGTATTGTTCGCACGTACAAAATTCGGCAATACTTCCGGTATGCTTTTCTCACTTTGTACGCTAATCGGTCAGAGGACTTCTGTATCCGGGTCTCCTGTTTGGAGTATGAACTAGGGGATTTTTGACCCTGTGAATATTCAGTCGGAGATCACATCATAACAATGATCTTTAGAGTGTAGGAAAGAGGTTGAAGCCTTAATGATCAATATAGACCAAACAAAAACTATGGCGCAATTTGGTGCACAAGTAGTCTGACAGAAATGTCTGCGGTTGTGTTGGACCTGCGGCATCCAGATTTAGCAAGGTAATGACAAGGAAAAATCAGCTTTACAAAATGTAATGAAGGTGTAAATTTGTTGGTCTCCGAACTGAGAAAATTCGTCCCTATATTTTTACCGGCCTGATATTCGATCCCCATACCTTACCCGTCCCGTTTTCGTTTTATTGAGCTAATTTGTCTTCAGTTGTTTGTGGCGCGAGTAGCCATTTTTGACCTGACCTATTCACGTGACGGTTCACCTTTGATCTTATCGACTCCGTTCGGAACTTACTGATTTCGTTGAACGAGACTATCGCCATGAACAGCTGAGGTGTGCCTGACGTAATTAATTATGTATTCCTTTAATAGTACCATATGAATGTTTGAATACAATCACGTTTGCAATTTGGAGATCCGTTTTCAGGCTACGAGTAACACAACGATCAGATGCGGATTGTTACAGGTTTTTATCAGTGGAACAATAAGAATGATATATTTCTTGAAAACATGGACAATCTCCGGTTCTCGGATGCTCAGACATGTGAATGCAACTTTGAAACGAAGTTGAGAACGGATTACTCGATAGTGTTCCCACCTTTTATTTTGAAACATTCTGCTACTTTTACCAGCACGCTGTGGTATAAACTGCGCAAAAACTGAGTCCAACCCAAGCCTTCATGGGTGCGTTCTTTAGCTCTTGCATGCTTTAAAGATGCATTC